AAGGTTGGGTATTGGAGAAGTAAGTTAAAGTTTTATGAAGGTCTTAAGGGGTTTAGGAGGTTTATGAGGGTCTTAGGGGCATGAAGGCGTCAGGGCGGTGATTTCGTTACAAGGCTGCGGTCACAATGCAAGGATGGAATGTAGGGGGCCTTAATATTCAGAATAGGNNTTTTTTTTTGGGGGGGGGGGGTATGATTTACAATACTTATAATATAAGGAACCCCGTCACAAAAATAAAAAATAATGGAGGCACTTCTCAAGTCCGCTATATTCAGGCTGGAAGCCACAGCTGGTCGTCAGAGCTCCTACAGGAACTCCTTCAAAGGTTCCCACAGCTGTTCCTTTAGGGGTTATCCTGAGTTCTATAAGGGTTCCCTTAGGGTTGGTTCCTCAGAGGGCTCGGTGTTGAGGGTAAGGCACAGCTTTCTAGTCTACTTCTCCGCTGTCCTTGGGGTTGCAGGCTTAGGGTTTCGAGTTTAGGGTGTGAGTGCCTTTTCGCTTTGCCACTGTTCCTGCTCCCCACCCTAAACCCTAAACCCTCCGTCATAGTCATAGTAACAACAGGTCAGTAGTGTGACTCGCCAAGCTTCTCAGACTTCTCAGTTCCTGATTCCAATGTCTTTCCCGTCCTGATGCCCTTAGTTCTATCAGGTAAAGTCATGTAAAGACTGAAGCACCAAAGCTGTCGTCGACTAAACAGGGGCCTCAGTATTTCCACGAACGGACGTTGAGGATATGTTATACGACAGCTATACGCGGGAACTCTGAGGAATATTATCAAACTTGAACCAATGAACCCCAACCCCAATGGCCCAAGCTCTAACCCCTACACCCGAACCCTAAACCAGAAACTCTTGCCCGTAATCCTAAATTTACCAACCGGCACGTTCCCTACCCCACACCCCACCCGAAACAATTCCAGGCTGAGGGCAAAGCCGTCCCCAGGTTTGAGGAAGCTCTCGTGGTGAGAATGCGATGGAATTCTCCACGCCGAGTAGTCCACCTGGCTCCACACTACTTTCGGGTCTAGGCGTGCTTTGGGGCTTTTAGTGGTTTAGGAAATTTAGGCATGAAGTTGGTTCTAGTAGGGAGTAGTCCAACTGGCAGCTACAATAGAACCTGAAACCCCAATGCTGCTAGCTACGGCTTGGACGGCAAAATTCTCTGCTTTGCCTCATTCGCTTCGTCCTTCTCGAACTCGACGATTATGATCATCATCATCATCATCATCACCATCAGCAACATCATCATCATCATCATGATCATCATGATCATCATCATCATTAACATCATCATCATCATTATCCTCATCATCATCATCATCATCGCCTCAAGCAGCCCGGTTCATCAGCAAGGTGTTCTCACAGGTGGCCCTTATCATTACCATCTTCGTGGTAGCTATCTTCCTTATGTTGGCGGTAGCTATGAGACCAAGGATGAGGGTTCACAGAGAATGGACAATGGGTTTAGTACTTCGCATAAATCACAACTCGCAAATGCCCACGCTCGAGATTCAAGTGCCTCTTCCGGATATTGCTTATCAGAAAAACTTCATCCATTGGGCATTGCACGACGAAATCCGTGAGAACCAAGACAACCGCCTGCTTGTTCCATCGCGTAGAAAGGAGGCGCTCCTGCAGGTTGTTGGCACGCTGGACGACTAACATACACTGAGCGCTTTTCCTTCTTCTCATATCGCAATAATACTGTTCATTGCCATGTCCATGCTCGGGTAAATATACTATATACATACGCAGACTCAAATAGAGGTATGCCCAATTATTGCAATTCGTCGACAATGGGATCAGGCCTCAAAGGGAAGCCTGCCAGGCGCTGTCTATTCAGAGTCTATTCCTTTCTTCCCAATGTTAAACAGGGACCCCCCTCATAGAAACTCGGAAAGTGTGTTTAGCATTACGGGGCATTGTTAACTCTACTGCCAGTTTTGAGGGGGTGTGCTCCTGCTCCGGCTCTTGCTCCCGTCCTGGCTTTTGCTCCTGCTTCTGCTGCGTCTCTTGCGCCTGCTCCTGCTCTTGCTGTTGCTCCTACTCCCGCTATTGTTTCCTTGCTCTTGCTCCTGCTCTTGCTGTTGCTCGCTCTTGCTCCTGCTCTTGCTCTTACTCTTGCCTGTTCTCTTGCTCTGAGTCTTACTGTGCTCTAAAGGTCATTTGGAGCCTCGCAACCTTCCCCCCTAATTCAGAATAGGCTTTATAAAGGCCAGGGATAATTTCGGGAGGATTGGCCCCAAAGTGTTGTTGTTAGTAGGGGGGTGTTTAATAAATGGGGGAAGGGATGAGCCGAGGTTGATGTGCTCGGTCGGGTTTTGTCTTCGGAGATTTCTCGAGGCTCATTGATGCTCGATCCGAATGGGGTTTGGGGGTCCCATAGTTGTGCATGGTTACAATCAAGAACCCTACAAAGAGTACTGCCAGCAGGTACTTAGGGCCCTATACCATATGTAAGCAGGGCGCAGGGTGTCTGACTCCTTCTCGAGCAGGTTGCGGAAAACCTTCAGTGAATCCACGTCCTCTCGCATGGGCAACGCCTGAGAGCCAAAGGGTTTTGCAGATGGAAGCCAGCATAGGCTTTAGAGTTCATGTTTTAGGGGTTTTACGGTTTAAGGGTTTAGGGTTCCCGATACCCAAAATAGCGGCTTGCGGTCTTCTAAACATTGATGATTCCAATAACAAGGATGCAGACGACCACACCTGCATGTTACATGGGCCTTCTTCACAGAAGTGTTGAATCCCACAATTTGATTTAGACAACGCAGTGTCAATTCTCAACATTTGGACATGCACAGTTGCATGAAGCGTAGCGCGAAGGCGAAGGACGAGGAAGAGGAGGAGGAAGACGAGGCGCAGGCGGATGCGGCAGCAGCAGCAGTAGCAGCAGTAGTTGGGCAGTAGCGCAGCAGCAGTCGTCGTCGTCGCTGTCATCGTTGCCGTCGTTGGCCGACCGCAGTCATGGTCGGAATAGTAGGAGCACCATGAAGCTTACTCTGCAACATTGCTGCTTCTATGCTCACGCCTACAACTGCCACAGGGCAGAAGAGCCGGCAAGTAGAATCAATAACCCTAAGCCCGAAAGCCCTGAAGCCCCAACAATCGAATTCCGCAAAACCCTTTACCCTAAACCCAAAAGCCTGCCCAAACTCTTCACCCGGCACCCTCAAGCCCTCCCAGCTCCACGAGGACTCTGGAAGTATCTGGGTTAGGTTTAAGGAGAAGGGTGAAAGGGTTTGGGGGGT